TAATTTTTGGATAGGCCATTGATTTTAATAGGCTAAAACAGAGCAAGGAATTATTACAGTATTTCGTATGGCATTTTTTCTTCTGAACTAAGTCTTATTTGTTTTATTTTGGCTAGAATAAAAGTTTTTAATTTAAAAAAAACATTTTAGGTCAATATTTTTAGCCCTCTCAAATAATATATTTTTTTAGATTTTCTACATAAGAAACCATCATTATACAACGATTTGCCTAGTTATTCCAACTTACCTTATTAACCTACTTAAGCCTTTTAATTGCACTTTAAGCGGAATACTTGTATCTTGAATAATATCAAGTAAAATATTATATACTGTTACTGTCATCATGGCAAAGATAAAAGAAATCATTTTTAAATTAGTAATTAAAAATATTATGGTTAGAAATGTGTTGTGTGTACATATAAAACTTTTTGTTAAAACTTTAGTTTGTATTTCTGTGCAATATTTAGCTTGAACTTAAATGTATTGTCTTTCTATTTCTAAAGATGTTCGGTGACAAATATTATTTTTAGTAAATATATCTGTTTAATAAAAATAAAATCTGTAATAAATACATAATAAATAAATACTGTTCAAATAAAAAATAAATATTTGTAAAATAAAATAAAAAAATAGATAATACATTACCGGTCAAAAGTTTGGGGTCAGTTTTTTTTCTCATGTTTTCTCATGTTCAAAGAAAATTATTCTGTTCAACAAGGTGGCATATATTTATAAAATATATTTATATTTATATAATATTTATTAAAATTTTAAATAACTGCGTTCTTATTGTATGTAATTTCAAATCAAATTATTACTCCAGTCATTATTGCTTTTATTACTATTACGATTAATAATGATAATAATAATAATAATAATAGTAATAATAATAATAATAATAATAATAATAATAATAATAACTGACTGAAGTAATAAAGCTGAAAATTCATCTTTAAAATCCCTGCATGAATTATTAAATTATAAACTACTTTTAGGTTGACAGTTATTTTATAATGCAATAACATTTTACAGTTTTACCATTTGTACTGTACTTTTGATTAAATAAAATTAAATGCAAACTTGTGACCGGTTAATTATTAACCACCCAATGAATTTATTTTATTTTTTTAAATATTTCTCAAATGATGTTAAAGAGTGCAAGGAAATTTTCACAGTATGTCTAATTATATTTTTTATTCTAGAAAGTCTTATTTGTTTTATTTCAGCTAAATATTTTTTTTTTTTAATTTTAACTTTTTAAAAATCATTTTAAAGTCAGGGCGACGCGGTGGCACAGTAGGCTGCCGCCTCACAGCAAGAAGGTTGCTGGTTCCAGCCACGGCTGGGTCATTTGTCATATCTGTCTGGAGTTTGCATGTTCTCCTAACATTCGCGTGAGTTTCCCCCACGGCCCAAAGACTTGCGTTACAGGTGAATTGGGTAAGCTAAAATTGTCCGTAGTGTGTGTATGTAAATGAGAGTGTATGGGTCTTTCCCTGCGTAGAACTTGTGTTGGATAAGTTGGCGGTTTATTCCGCGGTGGCGACCCCAGATTAATAAAGGGACTAAGCTGAAAAGAAAATGAATGAATCAATGAAAGAATGAATTTTAAGGTCAAAATGATTAGCCCCTGTAAGCTATATTTTTATTCGATAGTTTGCAGAACAAACCATCATTATACAATAACTTGCCGAATTACCCTAACCTGCCTAGATAACCTAATTAAGTCTTTAAATGTCACTTTAAGCTGTATAGAAGTGTCTTGAAGAATATCTAGTCAAATATTATTTACTGTCATCATGGCAAAGATAAAATAAATCCCTTATTAGAGATGAGTTATTAAAACTATTATGTTTAGAAATGTGTTGGAAAAAATCTCTTCGTTAAACAAAAATTGGGGAAAAAAATAAACGGGGATAATAATTCTGATTGCAACTGTATATACAAAACAAAATGCTTTTTAATTTTTTTCTTTCTATATAGTTTTAATTGTAATAAAACTTCAGTCTTTCTACTTCAAAATGTATCATATTATTCAGTTTGTTACTAGGTAATTCTTTGTAATTATTTGTAAAATAACTCATAAAGCTTTTTTAGAATAATTCAAGATAATGTTTTAAATATACATTTTGTTTTGTGAGGAAAATATTTTTATATTTTTTTATGTTATGTTTATTGTAAAAGTTATTTCTACTGAGCTAAATTAATTGACTTCAACTTTTTACATGAACATGAACACATCTTTGGCATAACACAAAATTTACATGAACGTTCAGCTACAAGATATAAACAACAAAGTGCCAAATAACTTTTTTTTTATATACAGTTTTCATTTTATAATATTATGTTCATTTCATTGCATTAATGAATGGCCACACTGAGACATAACAGAGCAATACCAGCACCACAGTTTTCAGTGACTTTACCCAGTGGGATTTACCCAGTGTGATCCAGCACAGGTGTGTGGCATTCTGCACGAACCAGCAAACAACATGGCCAGGAAGAGGTTCATTCATGCGTCCTAATACTGGGCTATTACCAAAACAACTGCTCCACTTATTTTGTATCACTCTTTGTTTTAGGGCCTGTACATTCTGTGAGATTGCGATCTCAGACACCCATGACATTGTCTGGAGGTACAAGCGGCAGTGGTTTTGTTGGCTGAGCCAGTGCTACAGTGATCTCCACCACGTTCACACTGAAACTCAAAGTCTCACCCATTTCTCAATCAGTATTATTGACGCATGTTTCATTTCAGACAATAGAAAGTACAAGACTGTTTTAAGAACGCCTTGTATCAAATGTTTGTTTTACTTTTCGTACGCCATAGTCTCACTATGAAATCACAAAGTATTACTCCAAATTGACACTGTGTGTCTGTCTCTATAAAGGGTTTGTTCCCCAAAATAAGATTTTATTTTATTTTTTTAAATGAATCAACAAGGCTTAATTCCTTCAATGAAAGTCTATTCACTTCTAAATGTTCATAAAGATAATAGACAATTTAAGATAATATATAATTTAAAATATTAAATGAATAAGTCTTCAGAAGAGACACAATCACTTCATGTGATAAACCAACACAATCTCACATGCATAACTTTTTGATTTAGTGGCTAATTCATATGAATTTGTACGATCTCATTCATACAATTTAGTGCGATTTGCTTATCCACTAATGACGGTTGGGTTCTGGGGTGGGGTTTGGTGCCACACCTGCTTTTTTAAATCGTACATTTTCATACGACTAAACTCATACTAATTTGTATGAATTAGCCACTAAACTGACAAAACGTGAAGTAGTTACGTTTCCTTGTGAGATCAGGGTGGATAAATTTAAGGGAGAGTGGGGCACAAAGTAACACTTTTTGGTTTTGGTCAAAAAATGAACAAAAAAATAATAGGGTTAGACAAACAATATTTTTTTTTACCAACAACACACAAGCTTCTCCTACAAATAAGCTTTGGAATTATGATCGCCGAACCTATGGTTTCTGTGCAGTCTTGCCAAAAGTGCCAGGAGTAAACTATTTCATACTATTTACCCCACCTGCGGGGCAAGCTGTAACAGACAGAGGGTTAGTTATAACACATGCATTTAAAGGCAAATTTCACACAACTAATTTAAATTCAGTTTGCTTTAAATAGTAGCTATACTTCCTCAGTATGCTTTTGTATTTATTTGTTTATTGGATAAACTCATTTGAATCTATTTATTATCATCCATTTATGCATTATTATACAATGCATTTATTTAAATTATTAGCAATAAAATATTTTTTTCTATTAAAACAATATAAAAAAACATTTTTATTTAAAAAGTTCTCAACATTACACTCAAAACTTAAAAATTGTGTTTGTTTAATTGCTGTCCAACAGTGTGTGGCTTAATTGTAACACCCAGTTACAACTAACCCCGCTGTGTCATGTTTTCCCAGCCTGATCTCACGAGAAAACGTAAGTATTTTACGTTTTGCCAGTTTAGTGGCTAATTCGTACGAATTCGTATGAGTTCAGTCGTACGAAATGGTACGATTTTAAAAAGGAGGCATGGCACCTAACCCCACCCCTAACCCCAACCGTCATTGGGGGATGAGCAAATCGTACTAAATTGTACAAATTAGACCGTACGAATTCATACGAATTAGCCACTAAATGAAAAAGTTACGAATTGCCATGAGGTTGTGTTGGTTTTCCTCAAAAACTGGCTAGCAGTCACTGTGTTTCTTACATCTTTCAAAATGGTTTCATCTTTTAGCCTAAAAAACAGTAAACACTACAAACCTCATTGGTTCTCTTAGAATACAGGTGTAAAACTCCTGGAGGCCCGCAGTTCTGCACAGTTTATTTCTAACCAAGCAGAGACACAATGTTATGAGACGTTATAATTAGGTTAGATTTAGGTCACCAGCGTTTAGGGACAATGTTATTTTGATGTCCAATGATGACGTGAAATGACCAAAATCCAACATCGAGCCAACATCCTAAACCAACGTCATATGGACATTAAATACTAACATTTATTCATCAGGTATGGCAACCAAAATCCAATGTTTGATAGACATTATAACGTCCACACAACTTCATATGTTGTTTTTAGGTAGTAACCAAAATGCAGTGTCTGTCTTAACATTAACCTCACGTTGGGTTCTGATGTCGACCTGATTTTCATTTCTGAATTAGAATGCAACATCCTATGATGTTGGGGTACAATGTTAATCTGACATCATGTTGACATTCTATGCCTGATGGGAACCCTAATTTAACACACCTGATAAAAGGCTTGTTTGAGACCTGGAGGTAAGTGCTTTGCAGCAGGGTTGCAACTAAACTATACAGGGCTGCGACCCTCCAGGAATTGAGTTTGACACCAGTCTTAGAAGCTCAAATGTGCCATGTATCATGCAAGAATGAACTTGATTGGTTCTTGCATAAAATCATGTTTGCTGCAGAACAAACAGTATAAGTTTTTTGCGCATCTAGCAAGCAAGATTGAGCTTCCTTGATATATTAAGCTTAAAAAAGCATCACGTGAGGCGATCATTTCTCTTCAGAAGACTTGGATTAAACTGATATGCAGATTTGTGCTAAATAAGAACAATTTTCTTATGGAACAACACGAAGGTAAATAAATGCAAGCTATATATATATATAAATGACCACACAATTTTCATTTTGGGTTAAACAAACCCTTGAACTACAATTTTGGACATAGTGATTACTGACTAAACGCTAAACTCACCAGAGACCTGTTGCTGTTTGATCAGCGATGCAAAGAAACATATATGATTTCACTTCATAAGGCAGCTTTGGTTCCCAAAGCCTACGAAGACACCAAAGGAAAGGAGAAATTGACCCCTTCTCGGAAATGACCTCTAATCAGCAATAGTTGTGGTTTGAGGTTTCACCTTCAATATGTAAACAATAGAACTTTGATCCCAATGTGGATGTTGCACAGAGCTTTACATTGTACACTTTCTATACGCCATTTCATATCGATGAAGAAAGGATCTTGTTTAAAGAGTATTGGGCCATGATGAGAAGGAGGGATTGAGAGCAGGGCTGTGGTGTTAAAGATGAGAGCCTTCATGTCATTGTTTTAGAGAAAGCCTTTAGCAGTAGGACCTGGAAGACGTACAGGGCATTTAACAATAAGGTTTGTAATAACACAAAGCCTGTTCCATAAAAGCTGGATGCTTTACTGAAAAAAAAAAGACCCTCATGCTCAATTGGTTCCAGCACTTGACAGGAAAATGCAATTGTTCCTGATGTCAAATTTTAGCGACTCCTACTATAAATTAGGGGCTGGGCAGAAGTTTGGATCAGTTTAACTTTGCCGATTATTTACCTTGCTCTGTGAAGAACACTTTAGGACAACATGAGCGCGTCGGTGGCTATTTACAGAAACATATACACTGAGGATCGGTTCCGACAGACGTACGGTACGGAAGACCAGTCTGGCGGGAGAGAGCGGCTCCGGGACCGGCTGGCGCAGAGATGCAGCTGCTCGCAGGTGGAGTGCGTTCACCTGCTTCACAAGAGACTGCCCGTGTGCAGCTGGCTGCCAAAGTACAAGCTCAGAAAATGGCTCTTAGGAGATATCATAGCCGGACTGACTGTTGGAATAGTACACATTCCCCAAGGTAAAAAATAAAGTTGATTCATTTTTCTTACTTATGACGTCGCCTAAAGTTGAGGTGCGAAGAGGATATGGTTGGCTAAATACCATATTTAGGATGAACACATTTGTTTTGATATTCAACGACCAGAAAGATGAGAGAAACTTAAATCGATTAGTATTTGTATTAATGTAACATTAAACCTTTAAATATTTCTTATGAAAATTTATATTACATATACACGCGTGTGTGTGTTCATATTTTGCACATTGAAGTTACAGAAATCCGCCTTTGCATTAAAAATAGTGTGTATATTGTGAGGTCTATTTTAAAACACCCAATAGAACGGTGAAAATGTGCGATTGATTGCATTTGGCGTTATGAACATGGGTCAGGCTTTTAGTTAGGATTGAGATTATTATTGAAATGTGAAAATTATTCTGAAATTGATAATTTCACCAGGCCGGTAGCCAGCGGGGGGCTCGGGTAGTTTGAAAGACCCAGCCCCCTGCTGACAAGGTCCAGAGTTTAGCTCCAATATGAGCTCATTTGTCCCATTTTTGACAGTATACCATCATAAATTGTGAAAATACCCAACTGAAGAAGACTTTAAGAAGAATAACCAATAAAAAAAAAAATAATATATATATATATATATATATATATATATATATATATATATATATACAGTTTTCAATTTAAAACAAGTTTTGATAGATTGCCAATTTTATTTTCTTTATTTGTTTTTTATGATGGATGATAATAAATTTGTATTTAAAAAATAAGTATTTTTTTCAGATTTCTAACATTCTAATTGAAATACATTAGATATGAAACTAATAACCTGTTTAAATGCACATTTGTGAATAAAAATACATTTTTGTTAACAAAAAATAGTAATGATAAGCACTGCAAATAAGCAAACTTATAAAAATTTAGGAAGTATTTTTGTTGCATCAAAAAGTGTGGTATTGATAACCATCCGACAAACTTATACAGCACAAATTGCTGTTTAAAATGTCACTAAAATCAAGGAAATACAAATATTTCAGGCTTATATTATTGAAAAGCACTGTAAAAAATGCGTGGCTCAAATTCAAATAGATTGAATGTAAAACAATTAAATTGCCCCCCAAAAACTCAACTCGTTTCAGCTCATTCTAAATGCGTAGTTTGAACAAGCAGCAAAATACATTTTTTGAGAGTCAATGAAATGTATATAAAGTCTATAAACATCAGAAAAGTACATAAACATAAGAAATGTTGTCACTTTTTACTTCAAGGGATGGCGTTTGCTTTGTTGACATCAGTGGCTCCTGTCTATGGGCTTTACACATCTTTTTTCCCAGTGGTCCTTTATATGCTTTTTGGCACTGGTCATCATGTTTCCACAGGTAAAAAAATATCTAACAATAATTTACCAGATTTTTGCACTGTAAAAAACATTTATGTGGTTTATTTAAATATAAAAATGTCAGATTTTCCACAAATTTGTTTAATCATCCTGACATGTTTGCATAACCAAACACCTGTCACTTTTGTAGTGTCCCAGTATAATAAGTTAATGTAGTTGTAATGCTCAATTAAGAAAATGAAATGTTATTATTCATGGCTTTGGCCTCTGCAGGTACCTTTGCTGTGTTGAGTCTGATGACTGGCTCAGTTGTGGAGCAGCTGGTCCCCATCCCACTCGCACTGAATAGCAGTAGCCCAGAGGCTGCAGAGTTTGAGGCCCAGAGGATTGGAGTGGCATCAGCCGTAGCCTTTCTCTCAGGCATAATGATGGTAAAACACATCTCCTCTATGTAAAACAGACATCTATAGACTTAAGTTGAATTATAAGAGTATGCTGCATGTTTTTATTGTCCTAGCTCTGTATGTGTGGACTCCAGTTGGGTTTCCTTTCTACATATCTCTCAGAACCAATTGTTAAGGCGTTCACAAGTGCAGCCGCCTTCCACGTGACTGTCTCACAGCTGCAAAGCATGTTGGGATTACGGTTACCCCGATATGCTGGTGCCTTTTCTCTTTTTAAGGTCAGAATTAGCTTTTTTCAGTATCACTGAGTATAACTGAGCACAAATTAATCAAAAGTTCTAATTAAACCTACAGACGTTGGCTTCAGTGATGGAAAACGTGCCCCACACTAATTTGGCTGAGCTGGTGATCTCACTGCTCTGCCTGGCTGTTCTGGTGCCTGTTAAAGAGGTCAATTCCCGCTTTCGGGAGCGTCTGCGGACTCCAATCCCTGTGGAGATTATCACTGTGAGTTTGCACTTCAAAACAGACATTTGAGACGGTTTAGAAAGCACGTGGAGCAGTCAAAACATTTACTTATCTTTGGGTTTCTTTTCTTTCCAATTTCTGTCATGCCATGTGAGACATACAGTAAATAAAGCAACTGAACTTTTGTACAAATATTTGCCATACCAGTCAGTTTATTCGCTGTAATGAGAGTTTCATCAACCCTCTTTTCTATTCTTTTTTTGTTGCCTGCATTCTGAAAAACATGTTTTTATTGTGGCTCCTGCAGGTAATAATTGCAACAGGAATCACATATGCCTTTTCTCTGGATTCCAAGTATGACATACAGATTGTAGGACATATTCCTGCAGGGTAATATATTCTTATATGTGATGCATTATTCATGATAGTCATAAATACTAGCAGTATCGAATATGTAACTGTTCAAAAAGAAAAAGAAAGAAACCTTTCATACTACATTTATTTGATCAAAGAATGCAACCTTGTAAATTTAATTAATATATATATATATATATTTAATGTATTTTTAAAATATTTCCCGGTAAATTCATTTAAAAAAATGTTTTTTCCTGTTTTTAAAAAGCTAATTATTGTAGCATACTTCATTTTTCAATGTCACACAAGTCATTCTAATATGCTGATTTGGAAGTCTTTACTGGCAGGTTTGAAATAATATGTGTGTATATATTCAAATATATTTAATGCAAATTTAAAATGTATATAAACTGCAATTTAACTATAATTTGAAGTGAAATGTTTACTAATTTTCAGTTTTCCAGAACCACGACTGCCTGCATTAGAGACAGTTCCAGAAATTGCTGGTGACACAGTAGCTATCACACTCGTCGCCTATGCTGTGTCTGTATCTCTAGCCATGATATATGCTGATAAGCATGGATACTCCATCGATCCAAATCAGGTTTATATCATATTAATTAATTGAGGTTATAAAACGTATAAAGGCAGGTGATTTTCATTGTAAATGTGCCATCCTAAGACTATATTAATTTTATTGTAGGAGCTTCTAGCACATGGGATCTCCAACACTGTGTCATCTCTGTTCACTTGCTTCCCCAATTCAGCTACACTGGCCACTACAAACATACTAGAGAGTGCTGGAGGTCACACGCAGGTACTGGTGTGCTTGTTCAACCACTTAGCCCATGCTGCAAAATGAAGCAGTTCTACAATGAAAATGTAATATTAAGATAATGCAATGAGCTTTTTTCCACAGTATATTCACTGCTAAATATATGAAAACAATTTTCTGTACAAATTTTGTCAGATTTTTTTTTTAACATAGTTAGGATTTAATAAGGCTTTTTCTGTACTTGAACAGCTTGCAGGACTATTCACAAGTCTGGTTGTTCTTATTGTACTTCTGCTGATAGGACCTCTGTTTTACTTTTTACCCAAGGTAAGAGTCACTTTACTATTGAGATATCTACAATAGGACTCAGAGCTATGTAATATTTTCCCCCTACAAGTTCTCCATTTCGTATTTTATCTTTCATTTAATGTTGTTTGTGAATGTAAAAGATCTGCAAAGTTTCACAGATGACAGTGAACGATGTATGAGTTGTTTTGACTGAAACTAAATCACAGATTTTAAACGGCCTGGAACAAGTCACCAGTAATTCCAGTATTACTTCCTGCACAAACCTACAGAAGTTTGTAACACATTTGTATTATGCCAGTTTATGGTCTTTATTGGCTGCTCACAAACAATGTCTGTTTTTAATCCTCAGACACTAGTTTGGTTTGTGTTGTTTTTGCACAGTGAAAACAAATCCACATTGCATGTATTTCCAAAAAAAAGAAGAACTTGAGCTTGAATTGATACTGGAAAATGAAATCCATTGTTACTGTTTCTATCATTGTTAACAAGTGATGAGGAAGCCTCCAGATCTTATACCAAATCAAATAAAAAAAAAAAAATCAAGAAAAGAAGGCTTTAGAAAGACTGGATTCTTGAACTGTTTAAGACACTGTCGGGAAAAATAGATGCTGTAGTGCACAGGTGTCAAACTCAGTTCCAAAAGGGCAGCAGCTCTGCACAGTTTAGTTCCAACCCTTATTAAACACACCTGATCAAACTAATTGAGTCCTTCAGGCTTGTTTGAAACCTACAGGTAAGTGTGTTGGAGCAGGGTTGGAACTAAACTGTGCAGGGCTTCGGCCCTCCAGGAATTGAGTTTGACACCCCTGCTGTAGTGTATATTAGAAAATAAAAAGTGTTTTATGATCTTGGATGGATATAAACCTAATGTGTGAAACTGCAGAAACAAACTTAGGGGCTTTTGAAATAGTATAATGGAGCACTTTAAGTTACTTTGGATGTAAGTGTCTGCTAATTGATGAATTCATTAATGTAAATATGGATTTATGGTTTGTAAACATTTACCAACCAATCAAAAAGGGTAGATTTTGATTTCATGCTCTTTGAATTATCAACCAACAACCTCTCTCATCTCTCCACCCAGGCAGTGCTGGCTTGTATAAATGTGACCAGCCTGAGACAGATGTTCCTACAGTTTCAGGATCTCCCTGAACTATGGAGAATTAGCAAAATTGATTTTGTAGGTTTTTACAATCTCTCGTTCCACAAGCAAATGCTAAATATCTTTAATTTCTTAAATGACATTGTGTTCAGCTGAGTGATATCAGTTCTTGTGTACATCTGAGCAGATGGTGTGGCTTGTGACCTGGCTGTCTGTAGTTGTGCTGAATGTAGACCTGGGGTTGGCCATTGGGATGGTCTTTTCCATGATGACAGTCGTCTGTCGCACACAGAGGTATTGTATGGATAACTCCTTTCTATTGGATAAAATTTGGCAATTTCCATTTGGTCTTTTTGTATGGTTGATGTAATGTAGAGCATGTGATCGACCGGCCTATTAAGGATCACTAGGTTTCTTAGCAGTCACCAAACATGCTTCATTTTAAAATAAATTATTATGATTTAAGTATTAGCGGCTAAACCTTAATGCAGCTATACACCTGTCAATAAATTATAAGCATTTAGCAAAAAGGTTGTATGGCAAACAATAAAATAAATTGTAAATTTATTTACTGTAACTATAATTGTCACAGAAATGATAACCTCACATGATTGGCTTTGTTGTTATACATGAGATGTGTGTGTGTATATACACTCACCGGCCACTTTATTAGGTACATATTACTAGTACCTGGCTGGACCCCCTTTTGCCTTCAGGACTGCCTTAATAATTTGTTGCATAGATTCAACAGGGTACTGGAAATTTTGGTCCATATTGACATGATAGCATCACGCAGTTGCTGCAGATTTGTTGGCTGCACATTCATCCCGAAGGTGCTCTATTGGACTGAGTCTGGTGACTGTGGAGGCCATTTGAGAACTCATTGTCATGTTCAAGAAACCAGTCTGAGATGATTCACACTTCATGACATGGCGCGTTATCCTGCTGGAGGTAGCCATTAGAAGATGGGTACACTGTGGTCCTAAAAAGATGGACACGGTCAGCAACAATTCTTGGCTGTGGCGTTGACACATTGCTGAATTGGTACTAATGGGCTCGAAGTGTGCCAAAGAAAGATCCCCCATACCATTACACTACAAGCACCAGCCTGAACCATTGATACAAGGCAGAATGGATCTATGCGTTCATGTTGTTTATGTCAAACTCTGACCCTACCATCAGAATGTTGCAGCAGAAATGGAGACTCATCAGACCAGACAATGTTTTTCCAATCTTCCATTGTCCAATTTTGGTGAGCCTGTGTGAATTGTAGCCTCAGTTTTCTATTCTTAGCTGACAGGAGTGGCACCCGTTGTGGTCTTCTGCTGCTGTAATATCCACCTCAAGGTTGGACATGTTGTGCGTTCAGAGATGCTCTTCTGCATACCTCGGTTGTAACAAGTGGTTATTTAAGTTACTGTTGCCTTTCTATCAGCTTGAACCAGTCTGGCCATTATCTTCTGACCTCTGGCATCAACAAGGCATTTGCATCCACAAAACCGCCGCTCACTGCATATTTTCTTTTTTTTCGAACCATTCTCCGTAAACCCTAGTGATTGTTGTGCAAGAAAATCTCAGTAGATGAGCAGTTTCTGAAATACTCAGACCAGCCTGTCTGGGAGCAACAACCAATGTCACAATTAAAGTCTCTTACATCCCCTTTCTTCCTCATTCTGATGCTCGGTTTAAACTGCAGCAGATCGTCTTGACCATGTCTGCATGCCTAAATGCATTGAGTTGCTGCCATGTGATTGGCTGATTAAAAAATTTGCATTAACAAGCAGTTGGACAGGTGTATCTAATAAAGTGGCCGGTGAGTGTGCATATATATATATTTGCCCCCCTGAATTATAAGCCCCCGTTTATTTTTTTCCCTCAATTTTTATTTAATGGAGAGATTTTTTTTCAACACATTTCTAAACATAATAGTTTTAATAACTACTTTCTAATAACTGATTTATTTTATCTTTGCCATGATGACTGTAAATAGAATTTTACTAAATGTTTTTCAAGACACTTCAATACAGCTTAAAGTGACATTTAAAGGCTTAATTAGGTTAATTAGGTTAACTAGGCAGGTTAGGGTAATTAGGCAAGTCATTGTATAATGATGGTTTGTTCTGTAGACTATCAAAAATATACATAGCTTAAAAGCTAATAATTTTGTCCTTAAATGGTTTTTAAAATATTAAAAACTGCTTTTATTTTAGCCGAAATAGAACAAATAAGACTTTCTCCAGAAGAAGAAATATTATCAGACATACTGTAAAAATTTCCTTGCTCTGTTAAACATTGTTTTGGAAATATTTAAAAAAGAATAAAAAATCAAAGGGGGGCTAATAATTCTGACTTCAACTGTATATATTTTTGTATATGTATATGATATGAAGGTATATTGTATCTATTGGAGCATATATAAATTCTTTTTTTTTCTTTTTGTATTGTGCATTGTTAAACTTGTATATGAAAGTAAATAAAAACAAAAGTTTAGTATGGTTGAATGGATGCAAAGGTATCTTATTAAAATGAATTGACTTGCAGTTTACCTTGATAATATTTTGTCTGTGAATGCAGGGTAAACCATATGTGATTTCCTTTAAGAAGGTTTATGAAACAAAAACATTTAAAAAAGGCATCCTCTGGGAGAAAAAAATTGGGAACCACTGAAATAGAGCATGTGGATGATGGATATAACGATATTATCAATCCAACTGGAGCAGCCCCAGTGAAACAAGACATTGAGCACATAATATAATTGAGATTGAAACTACCTAATTAGATTTGTGTATTTATCTGCTTTAATAATCGTGTTTACTATATCCTTTAATTATGCGTTCCAAAGCTCAGGGGCTGTATAAAAACAGCGAACCAGTATCCCTTACAGACCCTCGTGTTCCAAAACAACCTTCCTCTCCTGGCGGATCTGAAATTCACATTTAAGGAAAAGGGAAGATAAAGTTGAGACAAAAAGATGTCCCTGAACTCATAGTAAACTTTCTGTTTTCAGGGCCAGCTGCTCTGTGTTAGGAAGAGCTGCCAACACAGAGATCTACAGATCCATCAACAACCATAATAAAGTGAGTCAACAATTATCATATTAACTTTCTTTTCTTATTGCCACATGTAATGTCATTTACTATGATTAGAACTGGACCTTGTGCGTTTGGAAACCTCTGCTCAGCTATATCTGTCTTATTGAAAGATCTGTTATCATTTACTCACCCTCCACTTTTTCAAAAAACTATTTTAAGTTTCTTTTTTCTGTTGAAAGCAGAATTTTTGAAAAACTGATTGCCATTGACATCCATAGTTGACATTGACATCCTACTATGCAAGTCAAAGGCTATCGGCTTCCATAGAAGAGCCAGAGTCAGAGATTCAATTAAAAAGAAAGTTTGCTGAAATAGTTTGCAGTTTCAACAGCTTTAACACTCGCAATTATACTCTCACATAATCTCATTGGTTAAAACACAGACAGAGTAAGAAAATTTCCATGTGTGTGTATACATACAATTCTAAACGATATCTGAATATCTCAAGCTTACAAACGTCACCCAGCCACTAGACTGTTCAGAGCTGATGCCAGACCTGTGAAATGGTCCACAAAGGAATAGAAAACACACACATTTAAAGTGCAATCTATTTATTTTCCAAGGCTGAGTGTAGTCTTACCCGTCTTATCAAAGCTGGTTAAAAACTGGTACAATCTACATCCATACAGGCAGATTACATACAAAAAGAAATTAACTTTAAAATATTTAACACATAACACGGCAAATAACTCAGGAAACAGTTGTTTCCAATTCTTTAAGAGTCCAAGTTCACTCAAGAGGTCTCCACGACCTCTGACCTGGCTGGGTAGATCCTGAGGAAACAAATCATTTGGCATACAGAAAAGCTATCTCACACATATTATTCCAGTTTTACTCTGAAGTGGGATGACTGAGGCAGGCATGTCCGAACTAGTGCCTGTGTCCTGCTGAATTTAGCTCCAACTTGCGTCAAAACATCTGCAGGAAGTTTCTAGTATATCTACTGCGAGCTTGATTAGCTGGTACAGGTTTGTTTGATTAGGATTGGAGCTAAACTCTTCAGGACACTGGCCCTCCAGGAACGAGTTTGGACACCACTCCACTGGGGTCATCATATATTCTAGCCTCTTAAACATTTAACTTTATTTATAATAAGACATAAGAAAGGATATGTGTTACTCCATTTTGGAGCATCCATCAGAAAATCCTCGCCATCAACCTCATTAAAGTTTTGAAATACTTGAGGCGATTTGTTTTTTTTTTCCTTTTTTGCCACATACAAAGCTGTCACCAAATATCAGTGCAGTTCTTGTATTGCAGTGTTTACTTTAAATACTTCAATCATAATAACTCCCACTTGCAACAACATCTTTACTCTGGTGACGTGTTTACCAGCGCAAAGGAGGGAAAAACTGTCACTAAACCCCAATGTTTCATTTCCCCATGGATTAATCCCTACTGAAATTAATTTTCTTATTCAAGTATAGCTTTTTCATTCAGATATACTTTCCACTAGGGAAGAGAAGATAAATTTTATCCCATTTCTGTTGATTAACTGATGACCCTCTCAATGTCTCTTTTCCATAGTGCTATGAAGTGCCCGGTGTGAAGATCCTGACCTACAATGGGCCCATCTATTATGGCAACCGTAGCTTTTTCAAGGCGGATATGGCTCAGCTACTGGGACTCACCCCTGAGAGGATACGCAGTCGAGAAAAAGCCCTGAAGGCTATTGAGAAGAGAGAAAGAGAGGCCATTAGCACTGTAGTAAGATGATCCAGATGTAATGACCTCTTCAAGTTTGAGAATTTTTCCAATTGATTTTGCTTATTTATCCTAAAAGGTCCACTGGTATTTTATATTAAATTAAGCTAATAGAGAATCTCAGATCATTTAAAATTGTGCCTTACTCAGATTATACCCAACATTGTCATTATTCATTAAACTATTATTTTGCATTTAGAATATTTGGTAACAATTTAAAAACAAATTGTTACATTTAAAAAAGTCATTAATTGACTTTACTTTAAAAAGTGAGTAAACTTGTTGCATTAAAATTAAGTCAAAAAACTGTGTACAATTGTAAAGAATAATTGTTTAAGTAAACATAACGGTTCTAATTTACTGTAGGTTTACCCACTTTAAGTAAAGTCAACTTGTTGTTTCTATGCCAACAGGTTTAACGTAACTAGTAAAGTAACGTATCTTATTTGCTTTTTACAGTGTAGTTGTTGAAGGTATTTGCTAAGAGGAACGAACAGCACATCTATTTCAGTTTTTATTCATTGTTAATGTTAGGTAGTAAAATAAATCATTCATTTTTAGTTTTTGTTAACTCACAGTGCAGAAATTAATGTAACAAGCACATGTTTGAATTTTAATAATGCAATAATACATGTTGAATTATGATTAATAAGTGCCTTAATGAGTACGTTTACATGGAAACCAATAGTCTGATTTTAATTTGATTAAGACAATACTCTGATTAAGAGTCGACCATGTAAACAGTGATTTTTGATTACATTAATCCACTAAAGTCATAATTAAAGCAAACAGAAACTGGATTAAGACATGTAGAGTATGTCGACTTTAGTCGAATTATTGAAGTGCAGTACAGACATATAAACACCTTAAACAAACTATTACCATCATGTAGGATGTTTGACAATTGACAATTCTCTGCAGCTACAGAGTCAGTAAAGGACCACAGACACCAGTTTTTTTCCCCATTCGGTGTGCAGTATCAAATTCCTTTAAAACAATACTCTTCCAGCAGTTCATACTCTCATTTAATGTTTTGTTTGTCACAGGGGCATGAATGCAATTTTCCTGAATGAAAGTGAAAGTGCCAAACTGCAGTTAAAGTCGACAAATGAAAAATAAAACAGCTAAAATTACAGGAAACTCCGGAGAAAATGTGGATAGGCAATGATGTTAATCGAATTATGTGCTTTAACATGTAAAATGGGATCATGAAAGGAACATTCAAAAAGCAACTCATGTTAACACCTTAATCATATTATTGTCTTATTCAGATTAAGGCAAATTACTTGATTACTAATAACTCTTGGACCTTTATTTTTAAAGTGTAACCAAATAATTTTTAGCACTGCATATTTAACATTACAATGACCATCGCTTCATAACCTCTAAATGCCTTTGCTTTTACTGTAATCAGTCCTGTATAAAACTGATATGTGTTTGAACAAAATAATGGATTATTGAAGGACAATTTCTGACTGCATTACTGTTTTGTTTTTTCCAAGGAGCAAGGAGTTGCAGACAGTTCATTTTCTTCAAAGAATGACTTGTTCACATCAGGTGTGTTGCCACTTCTGGTGGAATAAACAAATGGTTAAAGAAAAGTTTTTATTTCAAATGTATCGCATATTTATCACTTGTAGAGATGGCTGAAGGTGAAGTCCAGGCTGTGCTGATAGACTGCAGCAGCGTCATTTTTGTGGATATTGCAGGAGCTCGGTTATTCATACAAGTGAGCTGGGCTGTAAAGATATTATTTTGACACCATTTGGTATTATCAAAAATAATGACATACATTTATCCTGCCACAGATGTGCATGGAGTGCCAGAAGATTGGGGTACGGATATACCTGGCTAACTGCAATGGTTAGTTTTCACAGATACAGTTGAAGTCAGAATGATTAGCCCGCCTGTTTATTTTTTCCCCTAAATTCTGTTCAACAGAAAGAAGACTTCTTTTAACACATTTCTAAACATATTAGTTTTAATAGCTGATTTCTTTTATCTTTGCCTTGATAATTGTACTAAATATTTTTCAAGATTCTAGCATCCGCTTGCTTAGTCTGGACTTATGATATACTGTTTCCTGGTCAAAGTCGCTACATGTTTGAATTGAGAAAATATTAGTTCATGGTCACTCTTTAGTCCTATCACACATTAAAGTGAATTTGATATAAAATCATGGGACGTCATTTACTTCCATATTTATTAAATTTGAAAGGTCTATACTGGCCCAATATCCCCATAAGTAGTTCCTAATCATTTGAAATAGGATAACTTTTGCATAAATTTTGATCGTGACATAATTCTTTTTTCCTATGATTACTGACATGGTTCAGGAATCACTAAAACTATTACAGCAATAGACTACACAGAACCTAAAAAGGTGCACTTTCAAATTTGAGTTTACAAAAAAATTTGGGTAGGCAAAATCCAAGCGGAAACCCCAAAATAGCACTTAACTTCAAGAGGTTAAAGGGCAATTTAAAGACTTATCTAGGTTAATTAGGCAAGTGAGGGTAATTAGACAAGTCAGTTTATGAAAGTGGTGTGTTCTGTTGACAATCAGTGAAAAAAATGCTTAAGAGGGCTATTAATAGTTAAAATGATTATTAATATAAGAATATTGTATATTATAATGTTTATAAATCTTTAAAATAAAATAAAAAACACATTTAAACCTTAATATGGTTTTTAAAAATGCTTTTATCCTAGCCAAAATAAAACAAATCAGACTTTCTCCAGAAGAAAAAATATTATAGAAAATACTGTTATAAAAATCCTTTCTCTGTTAAACATAATTTGGAAAATATTTTTAAAAAATCCACAGGAGGGATAATAGTTTTCAACCATATACCTGCACAAACTTTTCAAATAATATGTTAAGCAATATTTTCTGTCATCTATAGAGAGCGTACTAAAGATTCTCACATCCAGCGGGCTGATGAACTACATGAATCCTCAGCATATCTTTGTAACAATCCATGATGCCGTGGTCTACATCCAACAGCAGAGAGTAAGATGCCATTTCACAAACATACTCTGTTACAGCAAAAAAAAAATTCCATTAACACTTCATCATTTGGTTTGACAGGAGAAACCTCCAGAGACCAACACAATGGTGTGGGTGTGATTTATTTGAAACAACCATAATTCAAGATTTATTTGGACTGAGACTCGAAGCAGGAACTGAAGAACCAGCGTTTGACTGCAAGTGTGTCAGAAGGACGTGCACTTAAAGTCAATGCAACATTTATTTTGCCTCTATATGCCGTGATGAGTTTGTCAGGGCACATTATGGTGTCAAACAGAAGTATAGAGCTGCAGTGGCTAAATTATTTTCACACCATGACAAATGTTTGGTGGGAAACATTGATTTAATTCCAATGAATGACAGATAATGCGATTGATTTTTGTTTAATTTATGAAGAGGTGTTCTAATCTCTTTTACAATGCACTGCTAAGAATACTGCCAAACCAATAAGATTCAGGCCAACGATAGAAAACTATACCTTGATGGCAAACAAAATATGGGATGCAAAAGTCTGAATGTCTGTATGAGTTTGGTGTACTGTTTGGCTTCCTGCTCAGTGACAGGTTGCAATGCAGCTCTTTGTGTATTTCTGCTTCCCTCCCTTGATTTCTCCACTTTCCTGCAAGTGCCACTGACATTTCCATGTAAACTGTCCTTAAAGGGTTTACCGATCAGAAACCATTGTTATTCATGAACACCAGTGGCTGTCAATGCTTGTGCTCGCAGTTGTACATAGGCCTACCTGTACGTAATATAGAAGAGACTGAACATGATTCAGTGTCCTGATATACTCATGCCTCATTTTCATTATTTTGTAGAAGTGTAAAATACCTTTTAACAATGTACTGGTAAAGAAATCAAGAAACTGTCCACTCTGCTGGAAACACAGTTTAGACAAACAAATATGTGCTGCACTTTTTCCTTTCAATAACCAAATAAACACACAACAAATGTGTCAGCTGTGAGAACTCCCTGTGAAATGTGTGGACTAGTGTACTGCAAATCAGTGACAAAGTTCACGTTTAGATGATTGAAAATACACTTCTGCCAATTTGCTGTAACTTTTTTGATGAGATCAATCTAGGCCTACATCAAATGCTCTATATTAAAATGCTCTTTAGAATCTACAAAAAACTGCTGTGGTCAGTTATTTATATATTTACTGTGTATTTAATGGCAGACACGGTGCTATAGGAATTATAAGGTATATGGAGAAGAATGTATATTAAACGCTATGGTATTTAAGATAAGGGGAGTGGCTACTCAATAAGTTCCGCCCTGTCTTCCTGTTTAATTATCAGTCAACACACTGAAAGCAGCTTAAGCTGGTTGCCAACCGCCGTTAATATCACACTAAGAAGAGAGCAGCTTGTTTCAAGGTACTTTTCGAAGAAAGTATCTAACATGAATACACTTGCCAAGCTCAACAATTTACTATTATCGTGTGAAAGATAAGGTAATTAAAATTACTGTTAAGACAATATGATAAAGTATATTCGAGAGTCTCAAATATATAATAAGGTCGTGTGTAAGTCTAAAATTGAAACAAATTGTCGTTACAGATCTGGTGACGGTAATATGGGACAAAATTTTAACGAATGCCCTGCAAATCTCACTACTTTGCGTATTAAATTGAAATTACAGTTTATTGTAGGTTTTTGACATGAGTACAAGTAAGTTAAACGTCACATCCTTGGTTCGGCAAAATGACTCTTATCATAAAAATAACTAACGTTATAGGCTAGGCCCACTACGTACTGTATGTATACTGTTGTAGTGTTTATTAATTAAAAGAAAAGAAGATTTTTATTAACCTTACAGCTACTTACGTTAAGTCCAAGTTGTGCATTAGCCAATCCCATGCTGTTTTGTCATCACGCGGGAAGTTAGTTGACTGTTGTGTGTGATTTTAGTTAAGTTGTATGCTCGCAGCTTCCAGTGTGAATGGTTAAGAAACTCCTCTGCACTGGGCGAGAGCATTATACCCCGCTGTCAAGGCTGATTTATACTTCTGCGTCAAACTCCGGCGTAGGCTACGGCGCTGACGCATAGCCCTTCGCCGTGGCCATCGCCGTCACTGACGTGCACCTCTCAAAAATTGTAACTACACGTCGCAACAACGCGTAGCGCAAGCTCTGTGATTGGTCGGCTTGGTAGCGCTGACGAGTCTGGGCGGGACCGAAAGCCGCGCGAATGGCGCGAGCGATTGTTTACAAGTGTGGAGTCCCGTGAAGGAGCTCCGGATGGAAAGTTTTGTTCTGTGTTTACCTCATGGTTAAAGTTGTTGCACGTCCGCCGGTTCCTGCCTCAAAATGAGCGAGTTTGAGTCACTTGTACATCCAGGAAGTGTTCAGAATAGCAAAACAGAAGTGAAGAAACTCGACACAGAGGAAAATTTACACCTCACTGCCCACTAGCGTTTCGGAAGTGTTAATGCAGACCAACGGAGACAGTGCGCAGAAGTGTAAATGCCCAGCTGCGCGCGTTGCCTGCGCCGTGAGTTGCGCCGGTCACTTGACGCAGAAGTCTAAACCAGGCTTCAGTGTTATAAACGTTTTGCTTGGTGTTGTTGTGTGCCTTTTTCACCCCTCCACGGACACTTAATTTTGTCATAGGATAAAAGCACAACAATGCCCATGTTGGGACATATTGCTCATAATTTACTACAACAATAAATAACCGAATTTAGCATTTTAATAGCTGATTAAAAAACTTCCGAATGTGCTAATATAAAACCAACTTTACACAAGGCACGAGTTCAAAGCCATTTTTTAAGCATCTTTTTAAAAAATATTTGAGAGGAATACATATAGTTTTGATTATTTAAAAAAATGTGTTAGGCCTACTTATTACAAAATTATTTTACTTTTCTTTTGGGAAATAGTTTTTTGTATTTCTAAGCTCTAAATGGAAATTCTTCACAATTCCATGACATTAAATTGTTTAAAAAATATATAATTTTTCTAACCAAAAATACATGTCCGTGTCTTCAATTCTGTTACCATACCATACTTTGCCTTAAAATTGGTGAAATTATCTTCCACAACTATGTAAAAAACTGATAATGTTGTCATTTTCCCTCACTGATAAGATGTGAAGCATTGAAAGTTGTGTGTATGCTCTTTGAGAAAATTATTTTGTAAACTCTCAATACTGTTACTATAATTTCACAAGGAAGGGGAATATTTTATTGATCACACATCGGTTGATTTACAAATATTTGAATCTTCTTTTCATTAGTGCCATGTTCTTTAATTTATGCTAGCAAGTGGCCATTTCGGCTAAAAAGTTGTAAAATTGTCAATTCTTTTACTGTTACATTTTTAGAGCAACACTTTTGATAGGTAACATAATTGACAGTCATCATGTATGTGTGAGATTAAGAGAGCTTGTGTTTCCACAGGGGAAAAGTCATCTTGGTTTCAAGTAAGGACTGTTTATCTAATGGGGAAATAAAGACTTTTCTTGCGACGATTTGTTAATATTTTCTACACATTACCAAATTAGTCATTGGCATTAACAAATTGAGTCGACAAACAATTATATATATACAGTTGAACTAAGAATTATTAGCCCCGTTTGCATTTTTTTTTTACTTTTTAAATAATCCCATATGATGTTTAACAAAGCAAGGAAATTTTCACAGTATGTCTAATAATTTTTTTTCTTCTGCAGAAAGTCTTATTTGTTTTATTTCGGCTAGAATGAAAGCAGGTTTTAACTTTTTTAAAAACATCACAAGCTCAAAATTATTAGCCCCTTTTAAGCTATATATATTTTTTGATCGTACAAAAGAACAAACCATGGTTATACAATAACTTGCCTAATTACCCTAACCTGCCTAGTTAAACTAATTAACCTAGTTAAGCCTAGTTTACAACTTAAATGTCACTTTAAGTTGTAAAGAAGTGTCTTGAAAAATATCTTGTCAAATATTATTTACTGTCATCATGGCAAAAATAAAATAAATCAGTTATTAGAAATTAGTTATTAAAACTATTATGCTTAGAAATATGTTGAAAAATCTTTTTGTTAAACAGAAATTGGGGAAAAAAACAAACGGGGGCTAATAATTCTGGGGTGCTAATAACTGTCTTCAACTGTAAAATTTGTTTAAAAATAACAATTTTTCCCTAAAAAAATAATAATTTGTGATTTGCAAGCAGTGAATTAATAGAATGAAAAAGAGTATACTCTCAATAAGACACTGGCAAGTATTGCAGTTTATAAAGAGTTATTTTTTTAACTTTTAAAATGCCAAATAGAATTACCCACATGCTGATAAGACGTTGCTAGCACTGCTAACTCTTGTGTAGACAAAATACGTAACACAGCTTTGGAACTAGGTTCCATCTGCTTTCTGAGTGGTTTTCAAATATTAAGCTCGTACAAAAAAAACACATTGTATTTAATGACAAAGCATATATTGTCAAATTTGGATCAAAGTTCACTCATATACCTCATTAAAACCTGCTCAGTTGCCTTGACCTGATAAATAGGCTAGTCTACTGTTAGGACACAGATTATAACATTTTGAAATAATTTGATCTGTTTAATGTTTGATGTCTGCTTTTTTTTCCTGGGGTATTTCAAAGACAATTCTCAGGAGGACACCAGCTTTCTCTTTAAAGCTCAAGAAATATTACACTAATTGGCTGGATGGAAAGCAGCCCGTATTACTAGTTCACAGGACTGCCCAGCTGGCACTCTTGGCATCTCTTATTATAGCCACAGTATTGATGCTTTACAAAAGACTTATCCAATAGTATAGCATATGGTGTGATTGATGCTAAACTAATACTGCTTTTTGAACCAAGCCATGAAGCAAACATTTATTATATAGGCTTTGTTCAAATACATTTATGATGGGTTGTACATATTGAACAAAACAGTTAACATGATATCGATCAATTATAGCATGATCATCCTGAGGTTTATTAAGATATAACAGAAACATTAAAATAGAAATGTTAGAAACACATGTGGAAAACATTTTAGAAATCAAGAGATTCTGTACATAACTATAGCCTTTTTTGTGACCATAGACAACACTGAGAAATATCGATATGAATGAAAATCAAACCTTATAATGTAGTCTACTAAGTCTTGATAAGCTGCCGCCATCTTGTGGCTTGAAAATGAAATGAACAAAAAACAAAATTAAGCTAATCCGAAATGCTCTCTCTCTCAGCCTTAGTGGAATCCAGAATAAGAGTGGAAGATTCTTCATAATGACAAATAATTTACTTGAGTTCGAGTTCAAATGGTGTGCTAATGCGGCTTTATTGTCACTTTGTGAGGATGGGAAAATAATATTTAATTGGTGATAAATGATTAACTTTTTTAGGTGAAATTATTTGTTGTTATTAGCTCAATATTAATTATTTCGTTTTATTTTTGATTATAATTAATTTGTGTGAGGTGTAATGTAAGCTTTGGTTTTAGATTTTTTAATAAAGTGTGTCAGTTTCTCTTTCTCCCTCTATTCAATTAAACTTTTTATTGGTCTCCTCTCCCTTTTTGTGTAAGGCCTTGATGTATTGTGCCGCTAAAAGAATACAGTCTGCTTTTCCCCTAGTAAGTTAACTAAATATTGAAGGTGTGTTTTATTGTCTAACAGACGTTAAGTGCAGTGGCCTTTAAATTGTAGCTAGCAAATAAAATTTTTGTTAATAAATAATCAGCCACTGTGTTACAAAATGGAAAAAAGGTCACCACAGGATAAGATGACTCTTTTAAAAAACTGATCCAATGACGGACAAGATAGAACAACTTTTGGAAAAAATATAGCTATACATAAACTTTTAGAAGAATACAATGACAGAGGCTAGCAAGCTCAAGCTTGCAATAAAAAAAGAAGACAAAACATGACAGAATCCCAGTAAAGAAAATTCAAAATTGATATGTAATTATATACATTCCGAGTGGCACGGTGGCGATGTGGGTAGCACTGTTGTCTTGCAACAATGTCACTGGTTTGAGCCTTGGAATTTTTGTGTGGAGTTTGCATGTTCTTTCTGTGTTCATGTGGGTTTCCTCGTGGTGTTCCAGTTTCCCCCACAAGTCCAAAGACATGCGCTATACTGTAAGTGAATTGAAGAAACTAACTTGTCCGTAGTATGTGGATGAATGGGAGTGTATGGCTGTTTTCCAGGGTTAAGTTGCAGCTGGAAGGGCATCCGCTGTGTAAAACATATGCTGGATAAGTTGGCAGTTCATTCCGCTGTGGCGATCCCTGATTTATAAAGGGACTAAGCCGAAAAGAAAATGAATGAATATATATTCTGACATTTACAATCATGCTGTACATACTGTACATGTACATATGTCCATTTAATTGACAATAATTTAACTGAGCAACACTATAAAAGTGTAAAATATAATGTGATCTATGAACAGTTCATCTATATGATATAATAAATAGAAAAATGTGTAGACGTACATCTAACTTCTAGAATTATTCAATAATACCTTTTTCAATACTTGAACACAAAAAGTATTAAATAAAACGTTTAATAACACTAGAAACAATATGCCATGCTGTGCCATTTCTTCATTTTCCAAGGGTCAAAATAAAATCTGTGTTACCTCTACAAACCTTGACATGATACCATACATGTGCATTCCTCATTAACAAAAAGACAAAAAAAAAAAAAAAAAGTCACATTTACACAAATAACCTGAGCAGATCTCACAAATGCTGATATTCAAATTAAATACAAAAACAACATTAAAATTGTTTTAAATATGCAGTAGATGTTAAATGTGCTGTGCCATCTGTGGACAACCAAAAAAAATGCATGTGTGTGTGGTCATTTGCTCATTTTCCTGTTATGGTTTATAAATGTTCGTCGGCTATTTGTTGGGAGTGACCCTGAAAGTGCTTTCCTAAGTTTTAACAGTCCATATTTAGTCACTAGTGACACATTGAAAATGATTTTTGAGGTAATAAAGATCATATTCGTTCATAGATGTCTCTTTAGTGGAATGATAGCGGAACTTAGAATAGGCTTTGTCAATATCAGACTGTCCCCATGGCAGCATTGCCTTGATCTTTGATGCATGATTAATAATAACATCATTACAGGAGCCCACGTGGAGGGAGCCCAGTCCGTCAATAAAAAATCCTGAAGAAGACATAAAAATACATACATTATATATATACACATGTATAGTATATATAGTGCTCGACATATAAGAGTAAATCTCACAAATCTCTCATTTAAATGACTTCTATAGGAAGCTTTACAATATTATATTTGTGCATATACAACAGATTAGTTAGTTCTGAAGCCAACTCTGCAGTTCATCAAACTAAATAATTTATGACGATCCATAATTAATACACCCAAATTTATATCAAGGAAAAATATAAAATAAAAAGTTTAAAAAAAGCAAAATTCAAGAGAAAGAAACAAAAAAATTATCAAATTTAGTTGAAATTTTGTAGTTTGTAATTTATATTTCCAATATTTCACATGAATTTAAATGTATAAACTTTCCAATTCCAAAGAATTGTTCTTCTTTCCAAAGAACAAATGGTTTGGTGACAGAAATATTATTTCATAAATATATCGGTTTATTAAATTGGTTTCGTGTAAATGCACCAAAATATATGAACTATATTCACTGAGAAATTGATACAAATTAATTTTCATTCATTTATGTGGAGCAATGTACATGGCCTCTTACCTAAATGACCAACCCGAGCCAGCCTCGGGTCGAAGCCCACTTGTTGTATCTTTTCTGTGCGAGCCATAAAGAAATTAATGACTGCATCTGTAACCACACAATTGGGAAATCCTTCAATGACATGGTGGAATCCTGTCCTAATGTGTAGGCAGTCTCCCTCTTCATCACCAGCGTCTGTGGAGAGCATGTGTCGATAGGTGGCAGTGTATCCTGTCACTTCTCTGACTGCCCCTCCCACCTACAAAGCAAACACAATTCACATTGTGATTATTCAAAGTACATTTATAGTACCATGATCACAACACTATCTTTCAAGCAGCCATTTCAAAACATGTCATACAAAAACTTGCTCTTCACCTTACTTTGTAAAGCAGAAGTTAACATCAAATGTGTGAGAGTTTTGATTTATTAGACACGACCAACAACACAACATTAAAATATCAACAAAACCACTGATTTGCATGCAAATATGTCTACTTTCCTCGCTATATAGGTGAAAGCGGAAGATGACGTTAGATGAGTAGTATGTCCAAATTATATACAGTTGAACTCAGAATTATTAGCCCCCTTTTGATTTTTTTTCTTTTTTAAATATTTCCCAAATGATGTTTAACAGAGCAAGGAAATTTTCACAGTATGTCTGATAATGTTTTTTCTTCACAAGAAAGTCTTGTTTGTTTTATTTTGGTTAGAATAAAAGCAGTTTTTAATTTTTAAAAAAACATTTTTTTGGGACAAAATTGTTAGCCCCTTTAAGCTAATTTTTTTCCTGATAGTCTACAGAACAAACCATCATTATAGAATAACTTGCCTAATTACCCTAACCTGCTTAGTTAACCTAATTAACCTAGTTAAGCCTTTAAATGTCACTTTAAGCTGTATAGAAGTGTCTTGAAAAATATCAAGTAAAATGTTTTGTACTGTTATTAGAAATAGGTTTTTAAAATTATTATGCTTGGAAATGTGCTGAAAAAATCTTCCCTCCATTAAACAGAAATTAGAGAAAAAAATAAACAGGGGCGCTAATAATTCAGAGGGGCTAATAATTCTGACTTCAACTGTATATATTCAACATTCTTCATATGAGTTGAATAATTTCTGTTTGTGAATTGGCAGCCGTTTAACTGGAAAATGTTATTTGAACAGGCCCTCCCTTAACAGGCTCACAACGTTTATCATCTGTTTCATTGTTTGTCGTATTTCTACTTTTCCCCCAAAATGTTCTCACTCTTGCAGACTACCTGCCTATGCTCTGATCTCTGGCAGACTGGTGTCACTAAAATCACTGCGATTCTGAACAACCACAAGAAAATAATAATCGATCCATTTAATTATTACATTTAAAACAGCAGATCAGTTTGACTGAACCAGGGAAATACCTCACGCTCACGGTGCTAAAACATTTGATGTCAGTATGAAGAGCATTGATATGCCCTCGAGGCTGCAGGTATGAGAGATAGCTGTGTGGCATTGTGTCACCTTTGAGTGCTCTGAGGTGGGGGAGAAGCCGACGGCATCACCTGGAGCTAGTCACGAAGAGTAAGGTTAGGAATGGTACAGCATGGACAAAAATTCTCTAAAAATCTCAAGTAACGTTAAAACTTAAAAACATTCGCTAGTCGCCTTTTTAAAAATTTGGCGCTAAGGGGGTCTGAAAAATCCCTAAGTTGGAAACACTGTCTGGTAGAGTATTGAGTAAAAGCGCTCACACCTCACGCATGTGCAGTACAGAAGGAACATTCTATTATTTATCAGGGCTTACGTACACTGCATACTTGTTCTGCCGAGAAGTCATAGAATGTACAGTGCCACATTCTTCCAAAGATTACATGAGGACATAAGTGAGGATTTTTGAATGACAGTAAAGCAATGCTTATTCTGCAATCATGCTACAAACCATAAAATTAAAAACATCCAAATTGCAGAAAATTCACCTATTCCTGGAGAGGTATCAGCAGGTATAAAGGGTGGAGGCTGCCAAAACTGGCACAAAAGCAAATTTAAGTGTAGGTGGAGCAGTCAAAGCAGAGAGCCAAGGTGAATCAGAGCAAATTTAACCAAAATACATGGGTTACACCCACTCTTGTTACAAGAAGTGCTATAGGATTTGTCAACGGATTATTAAGAGAAATGCAGCACCATTTAGAGCAAACAATGCAAGTCAATAAGGAATGCAAAAAGGCCTGCTGTCATTTGCTGTCAATGTGAAAATGGTACATAAAAGTGTTCACAAATTAAGCATCACTTTCTCCACTGTCCACTTCAACTTCTCCACTACAGAATTAATTGTAAACACATAAAAAAAAAGAGTTAATGTAAAGCTTTTATTTATTTATTTATTTTTACAGTTTGTTTGTGAGCCCCATGAGTTTTGGTTTCCTTTGATGAAATGACCACAGAGAAACTGCTACTTGTGAGTATGGAAATGCATCCTCCTACGTAGGTATAGAAAGTTCCTTCTCATTTCAGTTTCTTTTTTTCATGTTTGGTGTGTTCAGGCATTCACAAATGTGTTATAAGTATTGATGAGCGGCAAGCCCCCTTGCACTTTCCACATGACATGTGAATGTCATTGTAAACAATGGAGGACATGCAAAAGATGCTAAACTTACTACTTATGTGGATGTTTGTCACAAGAAATCAATGAGCTTTGTTTGAGCATGGCTCATAGCGGAGTACTGTCATTGTAAATATTATAATGCGGTGTTTCAGCATGTACCATTCTGCTTAGTGGAAACAGCCATCGAAGTTCTCTTACTATACTGGAACATCAGAACTCATCGTTGACAGTATTGACCTTACTCTACAATGCGGAAGTGCATTCATTTTTGTGATCGTTTTAGAACTTTCTATTTAGTTGCCTGTGGTCCAAGCTAGATGGATGGCGCAGGCACTATGGTTGAGGAAATGTCCTGTAGGATGTGTTAGGCAACAGGTTGTAGTGAACAGGTTATTGGATGTCCATAGAGAAGTTGTCTGGATACTACTACTACTACTACTGAGAAGAGGGAGAAGGAGAGAGATTTTCTTTGTGAATGTGAAATGGATGGCGTGTGAAACGATTGATAATTTGTGTCACTTTATTAGTAAAAAAAAAAGAGAAAAAAAAGAGGTAAACTCATAAGCAAATAAGGAGGTGGTCGGAGGAAGTGGATGAGGAGGAATTTGAAGAGTTTACTAATGTCTGAAGTGAAGGTGACTTTGTTTTGTAGCATTGAATTTTGGCAGAATGAACGCGTGTGACGAATGCTGTGAGTTTGGACTGTAGTCTGTTCAGGTCAGCAAGATGTTTGGATTTGTGGCATTTTCTCTCTGCTAACCTGAGTGCTGTTCTGTGTTGACACAGAACATCAGAAAGCCAGGTATTAGAGGGAGTTGTATGCACTGGCCTGGAGGAGAGAAGACATATATTGTCTAGACGGGAGGTTAAAGCGGAACAGAATGTGTTTGTTGCACTATTAACCTCTTGAAGTGAGAGACAGAGAGGAAGGATGAGGGAAAGTGGAAAGAAACAGTTTTATACGTTGGCTGTTTGTAAAGATTTATGTAATGCAGAAGTGATCTGGTATGTGAAAAGGTTTGTGAAAACATTTTCTGAAAATCGTCAGTAAATAACTCACTTATTCAAATGATTCATTCAGAGTGACTCTCCAGTTAACAACCCATTGATTCAAACAATTCATTTAGAGTGAGTCTCCCGTTAACAACTCACTGATTCAAATGATTGATGAACAAATCATTCAGAGTGAATCATTAAAGTACGGTGCTGTGAAAAGGGATGGGATTAAACAAGATGATTAGATTTTAATAGGGATGTAACGGAATTGTAAATACCGTCATACCGCAATATTAATTTTTTCGATATTACCGAAGTCGCATGACTCGGTAAAACTATAGGTCTTCTGAGAAAATTTGCTCAGGCGAATGAAGCGAACGGGAGGTACCAGAAACTACATTTCCCATCAGCCCAGGCGTGGCCATAATCCTTTGCGGTCTGTTGTCGCTACAGATCCAGTAATGCGGAAATGGAGTGTGCTGCTAGTAGCGGAGATGAAAAAAAGATGGAAATGATCGAACCTAAAGCGCGCGTACTGAATAGCGGTGTTGTCGCGCGAGTTCTGATCAGCTGTGTTGTCGCGCGCGTTCTGATCAGCTGTGTTGTCGTGCGCGTATTGTAAAGCGCCGAGTGGGGGTTGAGACGAAGGTTGTGTCGCGTCGCGGGGGCACTTTTGATCATTTTGGAAGGGCATTTTCTATCCAAGACTAAAAAGGGCATGTGCACTGCACATGTTGAGCCCTATGTGTGCACGTGCCTGCAAGTTGGGGAATACGACTAATAGCAGTCATGGGGACTGCAGAAACACAGCACACTGTTCAGATTGATGCAGACATTGACTTGTACCGCAAAGAGACCTCTATCTCACTTGTTTGTCCTCTCAAGTGGGGGAAAGACAATGCACAACGTTACCCACTGCTGTCAACATGGGCCAAGTCATATCTCTGTCCCAGAAACCTCAGTCCCAAATGAGAGGGTTTTTTTCTGTTGCAGGGGACATTGTAAATACCCAGAGATACCAGCTTTTACCAGATTATAGTTAAATGATAATTTTCCTTAAAACCCATCTCTAAGTAAGTGAGTGAGTGATTAAATGCTGAATGTGATGAGTTTTCAACAATACTAAATTGAAACTTTATTTTTTTACATGGTTTAATAATTTTTTGTTATTAAAATTGAAGTTAGTGTTTCAAAGTTTACAGATAGATGGCTAATTTGTATGTCATTGACACTTTTGGCACTTTTTTGAAGTATTTTCAAAAGTTTTGTTTTTCCTGTAAATGATTCAATAAATACCGTACCGTGACATTCATACCGAGGTATTACCGTACCGTGAAATTCTGATACCGTTACATCCCTAGATTTTAATAAAAGTGAGCGATTGCTTCATTTTTTAAATTCATGTACAGAAAGGTCATGTTTTGATACTAGATTGGTCTCACGCAATCAAGTGATGCGATTTCGCTGGTCAGAGTTCTGCGAAACTTGCCGCATGGCCTTGCGTTTCCGGTTTGACGCATTCGCGTGCGTATGAATGGAAGTCTATGGAGATAAAGTTGCAGTGTGACCGCAGCATGAGTCTCAAGTAAACAACCCATTGATTCAAACAATTCATTCAGAGTGAGTCTCAAGTTAACAACTTACTGATTCAAATGATTTGTTCAGAGCAAGTCTTTAGTAAA